GCCGCGGGAGACCCTCGGCTTTGGAGGCTGCCCTCGCGCTGCCAGCAGGGACTTGGCAGGGTCTTGGTGTTCTCTTGGCAAAACCTTTGGTTTTGGGGCTGGTGCTGTGGAGCAGCTCGTCCCACCCAACTGCTTGAGAGCGGTCTCAGCTGGAACATGGTCAAAACCCACCCAAAGAGCCTCGAGCAGCACCCCGGGTGCTTTTGCATGAGTCTTGGGGCCGTGGGGGTGACACCAGCACCCCGCAGGGCGAGGGGACCTGGTGGGTGACGCCCCCGCGTGTCGGGCTCTATCTTGCAGTGCGCTGCACGGAGCTGCAGATCCAGCTCACGGAGGCAGCGGCCATGGCGGGCCGGCCGAAAGAGCTTGGGGGGCCCTGTCGGCGATGCGCCGCCCGGACGCGGAGGTAACGCTCCCTGGCGCCCCGCCAGCCGTCCTCCTCCTCCTCCTCCTCTTCCTGCTCCTCTTCCTCCTCTTCCTCCCAAGGGAAGGGATGGGCTTCGAGGGTCGAGCCCTGGCCAGGCTCCCTACAGCATCCCAGGTATCGGGGCCATGGTGGGACCCAAGGGAAGGATGGGTGGGAAATGTCTAATTGTCTCTCATGCTGCCCAGGGTGCAGCCATCCACAGCCTGGAGAAGATTCCGGAGCCCATCAAGGAGGCGACGGCTCTGTTTTACGGTAAGGGGCCGAGGTGGTGGCAGCAGTGCTGGGTCTCTTATCCCACCGGCACGGGGTGAGCAGGATGAGGTCACTCCTACCTAGGCACAGGTGTCCCTTGCTCCTTGACCAGTTGCTCCTGCTTCATGGTCCAAGATCTTGCAGTAGATGCAGGAGACCCTGGAGAATCCGTGCGGATCCAGGCTCCATCTCTTCTGACTCCTGGGCTTCCCTCCCCGGACTCAGCTCTGGAGCCAGTGAGCTCAATATTCTCTTTACGTTGGCTCCTGCTCCACAGCTGCCTGGAGAAAATGAATCAAACCAGCAGCGCCTCCTCTGGAAGGGAACCCGCTTCCTCTCCCTCTTTTTTTTTTTTTGTTTTTTTGGTTTTTTGGTTTTTTTTGTTTTGTTTTCTTTGCGCAGCCAGCAGCAACACCCGATAAACAATATCATGGCAACGGTTCCACCAAGCCAAATAACCTGCAGCCACCCGTGCAATGAATAGTCCCTGTGTGCAGACAGACTGAGTCACTGCCTTGCAGGATGTGTTTCTGCTCAGCTGCAGATGCCTCCTGCTGCAGGGATGGATGGAGGGACGGGCAGGGAGGCTCCCTGGTGTTCCTCACTCCGCACGGGACCCTGCAGTGGTGGCTGCAGAACCCTGTTGTAACTCACGTTGTAACCCCCTTGGACACAGGTGTGATGCTGTGAGATCCTCCTGCGTCTAGGAGGGACCTCGGGGGGACGCTGGACGAGCCCTGGTTTCTCCTTGGGGTCGGTGTCCGTCTGCCTGCTCGTCTCTCATGCTGGTCTTTGCTCCCCAGGTCACCCGCCACCCCCCAGCACATCATTCCCGGAGGGGCAGATGGACTCGCTCTTGTCCATCATCTCCAGCCAGCGGGAGCGCTTCCGCGCCAGGAACCAGGAGCTGGAGGGGGTACGTTGGCTTGGCCGCCGGCTGTGCAACAGAAACGTACTGTGATACTGGTGGGATCTGGGCCAAACCTTCCCTCCAGGCCCTCCTGCACAGAGGCTGGGAGCCCTGTAGGACCGTGGTGGCCAAGCGGGGACAGCAGGGTTGTGAGCAAGGTGCCTGGCTTGCTGCACCTGGAGCAAGTTGCATCCCAGCATTTCCTCGCATTGCTGATCCCTGTGAGACCGGCGCAGCCAGCAGCTCTGTGCCGGGGTTCCCGCTGCTGCCTCCTCATCCGCCAGGCCCGGCCGGAGCGGCGGCGCGGCGGGGATGCCGTGCAGCCCACTGAGCCCGGCAGCTTTGTAGCCGTGACGTCAAGGATCATTCCCAGGGATTGTAGATCAATAAATAGCCCGTGGCCTCCCGGTGCCGCCAGAGCAGCACAGCTCAATTTAATTAACTTCTCTGCAGGTTCTGTCCATGAGCACGGTCCTGTTTGGCAGGGAATTGCCCAAGTTTCTACAGTGAAGATCTGGGACATCTGGCCATTCCACTCCACTCCCTGCTGTCCTCTCTTGACCATGGGTGCCCTGGTCCCCTCGGAGGGGCAGGTGGCTATGGGAACTCCAGCGTGCAAGGAGTTAAGCTCATCTTCATGTTCCTCAGGCCTGGGCTTGAGATACTGGCCTGAAGCTGTGTTGAAGCCTCCTTGGTTGCGGCAAACATCCCCATGTTCACTGCACTCAGCTGGGTACATCCCCACATGCCTGCCCTTACGCTGTCCCCTTGCTGTGCCCTGCAGGAGAACCGCATGCTGCAGCACACGGTGCATGCGCTGCAGAGTGAGCTGGACAGCCTGCGTGCTGACAACATCAAGCTCTACGAGAAGATCAAGTTCCTGCAGAGCTACCCTGGCCGGGTGAGTGGCCCTCACACTCCTCCTCCTCAGGGGCTGGCAGCGATGGGGAAATTGCAAGCGACCCACATGTATCTGGCAGGAAAGTTCTAAAATTGGAGGCATTTGGGACAGGAAGGAGCTTAGGCTCCATCTGCCCAGCCTCTCTCCCACGAGGGCAGTATTTTAACCTTATTGAAGCATGTCCATCTGACATCTTTGATATCAGAAAATCTATGTGAAAGAGCCCCTGCGAGATGCTTTGATACTCCCACAACTGCTCCAGCTGGCGCACTGCAGATGCTCCCGCCTGACCACTGAGCACATGATTAAATTGGGACCTCTGGCAATAAACCCCATGGCCAGAGGCTGAAAATCAGTCCAGCCTGTCCCCTGGTGACTCATTCTGTACGTGTGAGGCTTCTTCTGGGCAGTTGGAAGGGTCCTGTGCTACTTCTGCAAGCTCCCCATCTCCCAGGCAGAGCTGGGAGACCTCGGAGCCGCCTCGGTGGCGGCCGGGCATCATTCCCAGCGCATTAGTCACCGGTTTTCAGCACCTTTCACCGTGTCTCCTGCTGGGCTAAGTGAACGCGGCAGCTGATTTCCCGCACGCCGTGTCCGATTGCCTGTGATGAGCTGTGACCGTCGCCTTTCCCCCACTCCCCTGACCCACAAACCCGTTCCCAGGCGGAGCTTTCCGGGGCTGGCAGAGAGAGCGGCTCCGCTTTCCTGGGCCACCACGGACGGTCCCTGCATGCAGAAGGCAGCCCCAAGCCAGGCTGCATCCCTGGAAAAGCTCCAAGCACGGGTGGCAGGAAAGCTCCCAATCCAGGCTGCTGATTGTGGCCACTTCCTTGGTCTGAGACGGGTTATTGCGTCCCCATGCTCTGCTAATAACTAAAACGAGGGTCACGAGGGGAGAGGAGGCTGCTTCTCACCCCGTCTGCAATACGGCATTGCCACCCGCTCTGCAGTGGCACCCAGAGCGCTCGCCTGGGTGGCCTCATCTGCTACCTTGATTATATTTTAATAGCTCTTTGGGATGGGAGACTCCAGCAGGCCTGAAGGGCCTTATTTGGCATTTTTATTTATATCCCCATGAGGGAACCGGATCAGCATTTGTGCCTGCTTCTCCTGTGGCCGACCATATCTGCGTGCGTGTTCCCCCACGGCAACCCCTGCAAGCCATTCCCGGGACAGCAGCAGTGAAAGCCTCCGGCACGTCATCGCACACCATTACGTAATTCTGGGCCTAACCAGGCGTGTGACAAGTTAAAAATAATCGTCAGAGACCGCGCAGGAAGGCTGGCCCATGAGGAATTCCTAGCCCCTAAATCAGGATCTTATCTCAACTCTGTATCGTGACTGCACAGTGACCTGCATATCATGTTCAGGAGCATAAGGGCACATTTGCTAAAGGTTGTCACTGGGATTTACCCACGTGGCAGCAGAGCCCCGGAGATGGGGCCTGGATGACGGAGCACCACAGGACACGTGGTGGCGGCTCCGGCAGGACCTCCTTAAAAGTCCAGCGCTCCGCTTGGGCCCCCGGCCTGGCCGCCCGCATCCTTGTGGCACGAGGATAGTCCAGCCTTGGCAGCCGCCCAGCTCTTGCTTCGCGGGTCCCATTTCCAGGGCTTGCTTTCCCAAATCTTTTGCAATGCATATTGCAATTCAGAATATTGCACTTGAGAAACTTAGGAAAACGATTTGCAGCTGCTGCTGCTTCCTCCGGGCTTGGTGCGGAGCTGCCTGCAGGGTTGGAGCCCAGGAGGAGTTTAAGGATTGAGCCTTTTAACCCAGCTAAATAACTCACTTCTTTCCAGAAGTTTTCTTCATTTTCCCTGCCCTTTGCCCTGCTAATAATAGCAGGTGTTTAAACAGCCGCTGCCACCTCCCCAGCCGCTGCCTCCCTCCTACCTGCTCTGGCAGCAATGGAGCTGAGCGCGTGGTCTGCAAAATCCTTGGCATTTCCAAGCTCATTTTCCATGGCGAGATAAGTGACCACTATGGCACAGAAAAGGTGCATGGAGGGGACACGGGTGGCATCCAAGCAGGATGATGGGCTTTGCTAAATATCTCTGTTCTGCCTGGGTGTCCCCATTTGGGAAGGACCGACCAACCACATCGCCACCTGCCAAGGGCAGCATCCGTCCACTCATCCCAGTATTTTCTCCCATTGCCAAAAGCTCCGTGGGGATGAGTGGGGACACACGCCCCAGCTCACCCATCCCCTTTGCGTCCCCAGGGTGGCAGCAGGGACGACACGGAGCAGCGCTACTCCTCGCAGTACGAGGAGCGTCTCGACCCCTTCTCCTCCTTCAGCCGCAAGGTAGGCAGCCCTGGCTGGGCCCCGCGGGCGCCTGCAGGCCCAAACCAGCGCCTGGAGCCCCACGTTCACCTCCCGCCCTGTGCTCCTTGCAGGAGCGCCAGAGGAAATACCTGAGCCTCAGCCCCTGGGACAAAGCCACGCTGAGCATGGTAAGTGCCATGCGGGGACCCCTGCATCGTTATTCCTCTCCTTGGCGTGCTGAAGACTGACTATTACTCTATTGCCTTCCACTAAAAATTGAATTTTCTGGATTTTTATTTTTTTAATCCTCCATCTCCTTCCCAAGCCCTGGTGCAGCCAGTCACAAATAAAAGAGCTCTGACTTAGGGGCGGATCTAGGATGCGAGCAGCAGCGCTGGGCTCTGTTTTGGGATGGGTCAGGCCCCGTTGCGGTTCACGTGGGAGAGCTGGGCTGCGGAATGCACGAGCGTGTTGTAATAACAGCAAAGTTGCCATTTCCATAAAACCCAAGCACATTCCGGCATGAATATGGATGGGTGGGTGCCAGCTCCACGGAGCAGCGGTGAACGGCGTGCACAAAGCAGCAGCTCCCAGGAGCTGCTCCTGGGGAGCATTTAGGAGCGTAATCCTATTTGTCCCAGCAGCCGCCACCATGGCCCCGAATAGCGAGGACGCTTTGGTGGGAATGCGATGATTCCTAACAACGGGCTGGGTAATCCCCTCATGGTGCTTTGGGGAATTTACTTGTGTCCATAATGAATCTCCAGCTCGCACAGCGGGAATGAAAATGTAGTATTTAGAGAAGGAGGAGGATTTCTTTGCCAGCTGCTCTCGGCGCTCCGGTTGCTCCCATCTCTGGCTCTTCCACGGGACAGGCAGTGCCATGGGCAGTGACCGAGTGTCTGCCAGCTCTGGCTGCTGCGCAGTGGCCTCACTAAAACACAACTTGGAGCCCAGCATCCATCTCACAGGGGTTGGAGGACACGGGTGGCCTGGTCACCTCCACAGGCTGGTCCTGGGCTGGCTCTGGAGGAGGTCATGGCTGGGAGATGTGGGCATCTCCAGATGTGGGCATTTACCTGCATGTCCTCCTGGCCCTCACTTAAAGACATTCTCCCAGACGAGTGGCATTGGGGGATGCTACACGTGGTCCTTCGGGAGGGACATTGCAGGACCAGGGGTGGCTGCGCGGGGCTTCGTGCAGCCTCCAGAGCTCCTGCCGTGGCTGCTGCTCAGCCGCATTCCCCCATCCACCGCTGCCAGGATGACGTTGCACGTCAGAAACTCCCCATGCTCATGAAATTAAAATGTGCAAGACTTAATTACCGCCGGGGTTCCTCTCCGGAGCGGCACAGAGCTGCCAGCAGGTACCAGGTGGGGACTTGCAGCAGAGGGGACTGGAGGAGTCGGACATGAAGGAGGTTCCAGACAAATAAGTGAACAAGAGCAATTAAGAGGCGTCAAACCCTGGGAGTCTCAGTGCCCCCAGTCCCGGCATTCACCCACTGTGCTGCAGCTCTAGGTGGGGTCCATCACGAGCTCCATGCGCAGCCAGGCTCCTTGGTCCCCATGCACTGTCCCCTGCTAACACAGCTCCTCATGTCACTGTCCCCTGCTAACACAGCTCCTCATGTCCGCAGGGCCGGCTCGTCCTGTCCAGCAAGACGGCTCGCACCGTCGCCTTCTTCTACACGCTGCTGCTGCACTGCCTCGTGTTCCTGGTGAGCGCGCGGCACGCACGCGGCCCCGGGAGCCGCTGCGTCTTGATTCCCATGTATCCCGGGAGTGCATCCTGGCCCCACGCAGGGCAATCGCTGTCACGCTCCGGGGAGACATGAGGATGTCCCCAGGGCAGCGGGGACTTGCCCGGGGTCAGGAGCTTGGGGCCATCTGTCCCCTCATGACATGGGACATCTGCTGCATGGGCCAGTGCCCAGCGCGGGGGGTAGCCCAGCACCCTCACTCCGTGTTCCCTTCCCTCCTGGGCAGGGAAATCTGTGAATTACAGCATCACTGCTGCAATTTCTGCTGGAACAGCTTTGTCCTCCACTCAGAAAGGCCTCTGAGGTGGTGCCCAGCGGTCGGGGGGAGCATCCGCTGTCCCCATAGCTGCACCCCCACGGCCACTGCTGCGCCTGGGCTGTGTCCCGGTGTCACCCTCGGAGGGTGTCATGTGGGGACAAGCTGCCCTGCCGAGATGTAATCCGGTCTCCCGCCTAATCACTCTCGGCGCTGTGCTCTAACGAGGGCCAGGAGCCCGAGCTCCGATGAGGGGAGAAAACAGAACAAGGGGGACAAGGCTTTTCCCAGCTCCCAGTCTGCATGGATGATGACATCTCTGCCATGTGATGCCAGCGTTCCTGTCACCTCTGCGGTTTCCTCATCACTCATGGTCCAAGCTGCTGCTTATAGAGCTTTCCTCCTCCTTGCGCAGCTCCTGGGGGTTTATTTATCATTGCACGGAGAAAAAGGGGGGGAAAAAAGGAAACAAACAAACAAAAGAACAGTGAATAATTAAACAGTGAAACAAGATGAAAGATGAATAGCAACAATATTTCCATCCCGTTCTTCTCAAAGTAAAATCGACCCCATGTTGTTTTGGGTGAAGAAAGTAGCAAAGAAAATTGAAGTTAGTGTCATTAAACTTTAAAGCACTAACCTAAAAATGAAAAAAAATCATAAATATTGCATGGCAGGAAGGTTCTTCATCTCGGCACAAAAAGGGCTGGCATCAAGTGCAGGGTAGAAACGCAGCACCCGGCGCCAGCTGCATCCACGCGAGCCGAGGCCGGAGGGGACCACGAGGGGACCAGGTCTCGGTGGGCCCTGACCGAGGTGCTTCTCCCTTGCAGGTGCTCTACAAGACGGCCTGGAGCGAGAGCGTGGGCCGGGACTGCGCCGCTTTCTGCGCCAAAAAGTGCGTACGGGAACGGGGCGTTTGGGGCCGTTTTTGAGGCGGGGAAGCGTCGGGGAGGTTCCCGGCCGCTCTCCGGAGCGGCGCTCACCCGGCTCGGCCCTCCCCAGGTTCGCCGACCACGTGCACAGGTTCCACGAGAACGGCGACGCGGGCGACATGTGGCAGTGACCGGCGGCGGCCCCGCGCGCTCGCTGCGCCCGCGAGCGCGGTCGGGTCTGCTCCAGCTTCGCTTCCTGCTGCCACCGCCCTGTCCCCAATGTGTCCTGCTCGCTTCAGAGTCCAGCCCGCATCGAGATGTATGGAGATGGCAAGGGAAGGGTTTTGCAAGCTCTCCCTTCAGATCAGCATCTCTTCTTCAACCTATCCCAAGCCCAGCCCTGGCTGGACTCAATTTGGCCAGAATACATGGAGAAAGCAACCTCTTGAACTTGCGCTTTGCTCAGGTTTAAGTGGTCTGGTTTTAAGGAATCCCGTTTTTTTGCTCTGGTTTATTGAATCACCAGAAAATAGCCAGTTCTTTTGGGCTAATCTTGCCCCTGGCCTCACGTAACTGCAGCCAGCCCTGGGCACGGGCTCTTTCCTGCGTGATTCCTGCTTGATTGCTGTGGTTCGGTGGTGGGTGCTGATAAAAATGGGGCTGCTGAGAGGTGATTTGGATTAATTTGGGGAAAAAAAGACTCATAGGAGAGGTGGATCCTGCCTTCTCATACTGCTGCCAGCGCTGAAACAACTCCACTTTCTGTGATAGGAGAAAATTGCTGCTTCTGGTTAATATTTCCCTGCCGCTGAGGTCTGCTCATGTGCAGGCTGCAGGGGCTCTGGCCAAGCATGTGGCCAGCGATGGCTCCATGTCGGCCCCGTGTTCGTTGGTAGCCGCCGTGGCCGCCGGGAAGGGGTAAGAGCCGCAGAAAGGGGCGAACCCA